CCCCTACAACTATAAATAGAGGTCTTCATAAAGCTAGAAGACACCAGAGGTGATAACAAGAAGCAAACAGGGAGCTCGTGGATCAAACACCGCAGATTTCTCTACAAGCTACAAGTTCAAGCACTCAAGCACTCAAGCTACAAGTTCAAGTTCAAGTTCATGATCAAGAACGAAGCCAAATCAAATACCAAGGGTTCAAGATCAAATTACTTGTTCGTGATCAAACCCAAATTCAAGTTCAAGGAGGAGATTCAAGATCAAGCTTTACAAGCCCTTGAATCAAATCAAAGTCAAGCTCATTAAGATACTTTACATTCTTGAAGAATCAGAGGAATACCATAGAGATTATAACACTTTCATTTATTGAAATCAAATACTACATTTGTTACGCAATTTTCCAGTCTTGATTATTTATTTTTCTCGACGCTAAAATTTGTTGTTACAACAAGTATTTTGCAAGCCATGATAACATTAAGCTACGAACAGCAGAAGAATTAAGAATATGACACATTTCCTTCTTCTATCAATTGATGAACTTGATTTTTTTGGGCATCTCCAACCTAAGTACTACTATTTTTTTGCTATACTTATATCTATATTACTAAAAGTACTTTCTTTTCATGTTGTAGATATAAATTTGAGATTATGATGAAATTCATCTGACGGTTGAGATAAGGATGAAATCCATCAGACGATTGAGATCAAGATAAAATCTATCCTATTATTATCCGGTTAATAATTGTGTATACTTTATCTCTACACATTGAAGAATGACCAGAGATATTTTACCTAAAGATAAATTTGAGATAAAGATAAAATTCATCTAACGGCTGAGATTAAGATGAAATCCTCCGACAGTTGTGATCAAGATGAAATCTAAGTATGTATTATGTTAATTTCTGGCTATATATATATATATTAAAGTGCCAACATACCCATCCATACGAAGTCGGCTTTTATTTTTCTTTAACCATATAATCCATATTTTCTCTAATTACTTACAAAAAAATGTCCACCGATCTACAGAATACTTATCGATGAAGATATGCTAAATTTGAATGAGAATGTTGCAGGTGATTCCACTTCATCAGAACGACCTACTGGGGTGAAGAAAGCAAAGTTGAAGAGAAAAATCGGTGAAGGTTTTTCATCTGCTGTGAAAATGGTCTAATTAGAAAAAAAACGACATGTTGTAATGTTAGCAAAGTCAAATGCAAACAGGCACCGAGATATGAAGATAAAAGATAGAGCTTTGAAACTAAAAGAATGTAAAGAATAAAATAAAATTTTATTGTCGAATTTAGATTCTATTGATGATCAATATTCGTGAATTTATTCGACAACAACAAAAACAAATAATGGATAAAAGAAGTCAACAATTTCAACATCCACAATCACAACCACAACAATCCTCTGCCCCATACACTCAATATTTTTATGATATTGGTGGATCTGTAATCAACCTATCGGAGTACTAAATTATTATTATAATTTTCTAATTAAATTAATATGTTATTTAATGTATTTTTTTAATTTTAATCTATGTCAGTCGCTAGTTTATTAAATATTTATTTTTATCTTATTTAATGAACGGTGTTATTGTTAACAAAATATTTATATTTTATATTTTGCATTTTTTTTTGTGATGGTTATATTTTTTTATACAATTATAACTTTAACTTATAATTTTATATAAAAATATATACGAAAATTATTTTATAAAAAGTATACACCAAGATTAAGGTGTAAAATTAATATTATAGAGATATTATATAAAAAATAATTAGGTATACTAGGGACCAAAATGAAAAAAGTAAAATTTATAATATGTTAAATTAAGTGTGTTATATAATAAAAAATAAAAATAAAATATTAATGAATAGTAATGGTGTTGATGAATAGTGTGATAAAAATTTGTTGTAACACTATTCACACACCAAAACGATATAAGAAATGGCATTGGATTGAAGCACCAAAACACTAAATATTACACCAAAACACTAAATATTTTCTAACTATTTTTGTACTACTGCTACATAAATAAGAGCTTGGGGACATGAAAACGCAACTTGAGGGTCAATTATCCTTCAGAGTGGTAGTGGAGTCTATGGTTCGAATCAATCGGATATATAAGTAGGGGCGTATTTTAGATAGGTTCAATGCTCATCTCCTTAGATAATGTATAATTATGTAATATTTTGGGGTATTATCATTATTAGCCTGCGCCAAAAATTATTTACATTCGATAGCCGAAAAAGTGTATAAAATTTGTATAATACATATATATATATATATATATATATATATAATATTAATTATACATTTTTCGACTATTATTTTGAGAGTGGCTATACAGTATCATTTTCCTAATATTCTGAAATTACTTAAATATATGTGTCTACCCGTCCTCAAAGAGTCCTATAATACACTAATTTTTTAGTGCACCTTTACAAGTAAAGTCGGAATTTCAAATCTCATGTCTATCTTGATAGTTTTTTCCTTTCTTTTTTTAGATCTATTGACGTCGAGGTTCAGTCTCACGTATTTCTTCTTGTTTTCTTTCTTTTTCTAAAATTGGATCTGTTCATAGGAGATGGGCATGTCTTGTATCCCCATGTGATCCTAATATTTTCGATACGATGTATAAGTACATATGTGAAAAATCACAAATATTATACAAGATAATAATAATTTTGAACCTATAGTTTCAAAAGTATAATGAGTCCATGATAAGAATATAAAGGTTGAAATCGTCATCATATATCCAGCTCTTCGTAGTTCGTTAGAGTACATCCATCTTTGTAAAATCATGGGTACGCCTATGATATTAAGCAGTAACGAAGAGCTAATTGGTGCAATGTGGAGCTGTCTTGTTTAATTAATTAAAATGCATATAGTCATACAGGGGCGATGTGGTGTGTTACCGACAGATTTAACTGAACTCATAACTTTTGACGCGGAGTAAAAATTTATTAAAGTTGCATTTGCATAATTATAAATATGATCTCATAAAAACATAACGAGTTCAACGCTAAAAGTTTTTAGCATTGAACCCATATGATTTAGATCCTGATCCGCCTTTGTAATCATACGATAATCACAGTGAGCCGTGGTATTGTTGTCAATCGCAAAAACCTGAAAAGGCAAAAAAGAAGAAAGAACATGTATGCATTGACGTATGGTTTAGGAATTAGAGGGAGCGACGACTTATGTTGTCCTCCCTCCGTTTTATTTAGTGTTTTTTAGTTTAATTGAGCATATAAAGTTTAAGAATATAAGGAAAACTTTTAAATATTTTCGGAAAATATTTTTCAATTTTCTCATGTTTGGTTGGCTTAAATGTTTTGGAAAATATTTTCCTCATGAAATTATATTTCTCCAATTGGAGGAAAATGTTTTCCTTATTAAAAGAGAGAAAATATTTTCTAAAACTCTTTGTCAACCTTCCCCTTATTCCCATCCCCACCACCCCTTACCAACCCACCCCCAAAACCCCACCCACCCCACACCCCACACCCTATCCTGCGACCCCTCACTCTTCACCCTAAATAAAAATATTACTAAAAGTACTTTCTTTTCATGTTGTAGATAGAGTATATTTTTTTCCATTTCAACAAAATGAGTATTTTCTTTTCATGATATAAAAAAGTATTATGTTTTAGTTATCGAGTTCAAATTTCAACGTTGTTCTTGCGTGAAAAAGTAAAGTAACACATTAGTTTCTTTAGGTTTTTTATTTGGAGATATGAATTACGGTTTGGCTTGGGAGGTTTGCCTCCTTGTGCCTGTCCCCTATTTTGACTGTGTTGCTAAAATGGTCTCTGCATTGCCAGAAAATGACATATTTGCCCTTGAGATACAAGCTTATGTCCCTATGGCTTTCATGTAAATAAGTTAATTAGATTACGAGAGCTAAGTTATATCTGTATGGTAGGATTCGCAATCAATTTAAATATATTGGCAGAAACAAATGAGTAGATTAAATTATGCTCATCAATATGGTATAACTTTCTACCAATAAACTACAATAATATGATCAATATGGTTAAAAGTTCTACATTTTTATCATAGTTGTAGGTAAAAAAAATATACAAGGATGACAGACTGTGAGCTAAGTTATACCAACGTGGTAGAATTCATAATCATTTAAAATATATTTGTAAAATCGGTACACTTTAAATTCTACCATGCTATCGTAGTTTTGCGAAAAGTTAAATAAATAAGTGACAGTTCATAATAATCTGGTAGATTGAATATAGCATGAAATCCTACCGATTTGTCATGATTTTCATGCCACAGTAGCTACATCTTTTTATTATCTCTGCCGCTCAACTTAAGGGTATTTTAGACTGAATATTTTTATTGGACATTAAAAGACTATTTTTGAACAGTGTCAAATCCGTGGATAGTTTTCAAATACCGACATGAATATAGCTTATCCGTGCAAATCACTAGAGCGCCTCTTTTTGTTTCCTTTTTTTATCTCTTTTTCTCTTAAAAATCCATTTTAGTTTACATAATCTCAGCAACTCTCTTTATTAATCCTTCAACAATGGAATCAATGAGCATCACCAAGGCCCTTGTACTTGTCAGCATTCTCACGCAAGAACCTAGTTTTATCACTGCCTGACGTTGGAGCAGCAAAAAGAAGGCCTTGAATTTTTAATTATTTTCTTGAATTGGCAGTAGCATTTATTTGTTATGTTGCTCAGATAGTGCGTGTGGATTTGATGGTTGAAATTTGAAACAATTTTTGCTTAATTAGTTTTTGTTTTTGTACATGTGATTGTGTAATATGGCGACATAATATAACTATTTGATCTTCTTTTTGTAGAAAAAGTATTCCACTATACTGAATTTATTTATAATTTTATTAATGCTAAAAGAGCAAAATCCAAAGTGTAATACTGAGATCATCTTTATCCTTTAAAAAAATTATATATCAGACAAAATTATAACTATAATTAATGTTTGTTTTACCTTAAGAATTTTTATGCATTATGAATACATTAGCAGCATGTGCTCAGGAGACTAAGTGGGTAGGATCGAAGGCGAGGAATGTAGATGGGTTTAAATTGTGGTACTCTGGACGCTTGAAGGGTAAGAACGAAGTGGGTATTCTGGTGGACAGGGATCTTAGGGAGTCGGTGATTGAGGTTAGGCAGGTGAGTGATAGATTAATATTTATTAGGTTAGTGGTTGGAAGGCTCACTCTAAATGTCATTAGAGCCTACGCGCCCCAAGCGGGTTTGGATGAAGAGGTTAAGAGGTGTTTTTGGGAGGGTTTGGATGAAGTGGTGCGTGGTATTCCGCCCACGGAGAAGTTATTTATGGGAGGGGATTTCAACGGGCATATCGGCGCGTCCGCCCGTAGTTATGGCGAGTTGTATGGTGGTTGTGGCTTTGGGGTTAGGAACAGAGGTGGAACTTCTTTATTGGATTTCGCTAAGGCTTTTGAGTTGGTGATTGCGAACTCTATGTTCCCGAAGAGAGATGAGCATTTGGTTACTTTTCAGAGTACAGTGGCTAAGACTCAGATCGATTATCTTCCCCTAAGGAAGTATGATAGAGGGTTGTGCAAGGATTGCAAGGTTATCCCGAGTGAGTCACTCGCGACCCAACATCGGCTCTTGGTGGTGGACGTCAGCATCCCGATAAGGAGGAAGAGGAGGGTGGTTCGGAGTAGTCCGAGGATTAGGTGGGGTGACTTGACGAAGGAGAAAGCTCACGAGCTGGGGATGAGGCTATTGGCTATGGGGGCCTAGAGAAGTGGTGGGGAAGCTAGCGGTATGTGGATGATGATGGCGAACAATATTAGGAAGGCGGAACGAGAGGTACTAGGGGTCTCGAAGAGTTACTCGGACGGGCACAAGGGTGACTGGTGGTGGAACGCCGAGGTCCAGGGTAAGGTGGAGGAAAAGAAAGCGGCGTATCGACAATTAGTGGAGAGTACAGACGAGGAGGAGAGGTAGAGGAACAGAGTAAGTTATAAGGAAGCTAAGAAGGTGGCGAAGTTAGCGGTCACGGAAGTGAAGAGTGCAGCATTTGGTCGCATATACGAAGAATTGGGGGAAAAAGGCGGAGATAAGAAGTTGTTCAGGCTGGCCAAGGCGAGAGAGAAGACGACTCGGGATCTATACCAAGTGAGGTGCAGCAAGGACGGGGAAGGCCAAGTGTCAATAGAGGACGCGCAGATTAAGCGGATGTGGTAGACGTACTTCCATAAGCTGCTAAATGATGAAGGGGACATAGACATAGTGCTAGGGGAATTGGAGCACTCCGAGTGTCACCGTGATTTTAGATACTGTAGGCGCATTTGGGTTGAGAGGTTGTCGGGGCTATGCGTAAGATGAGCAGGGGCAAAGCGACAGGGCCAAATGAAATTCCAGTAGAATTCTGAAAATATGTGGGTAGAGCAGGATTGGAGTGGCTAACTGGGCTGTTTAATATTATTTTCAAGATGAATGAGACGCTAGAGGAATGGAGGGGGAGTACGATGGTTCCACTATACAAGAAGAAAGGAGATATCCAGAACTATAACAACTATAAGGGCATCAAGCTATTGAGTCATACCATGAAAGTTTGAGAGAGGGTAGTGGAAGCGAGGGTGAGGAGGCTGGTGTCGATATCCGAGAATCAGTTTGGGTTCATGCCTGGTCGTTCCACTACGGAAGCGATCCATCTTATTCGGAGGTTGGTAGAACTGTACAGGGATAGGAGGAGGGATTTGCACATGGTGTTTATTGACCTAGAGAAAGCTTATGCTAAGGTACCAAGGGAAGTTCTTTAGAGATGCCTGGAGGTGAAAGGTGTTCCAGTGGCTTATATCAGGGTGATTAAGGATATGTATGATAGAGCTAAGACTCGGGTTAGGATAGGTGGGGGGGGGGGAGGGGGAGGGGGGAGACTCGGAACATTTTCCGGTGGTTATGGGGCTACATCAAGGATCTGCGATCAGCCCGTTCTTATTTGCCCTGACGATGGATGCACTGACACACCATATCCAAGGGGAGGTGCCATGGTGTATGTTATTCGTTGATGATATAGTACTGATTGATGAGACGCGAGGCGGTGTTAACGAGAGGTTAGAGGTTTGGAGACGGACCCTTGAGTCTAAAGGTTTCAAGCTGAGCAGGACTATGACTTAATACGTGGAGTTCAAGTTCAGCAGCGTGCCGGATGAAGAGGACGTGGACGTGAGGCTTGACTTATAAGTCATCCCCACGAAAGGGAGCTTCAAGTTTCTGGTGTCGATTATACAGGGGGATGGGGATATTGACGAGGATGTCACGCATCGTGTAGGAGTGGGGTGGATGAAATGGAGGCTAGCATCTAGTGTCCTGTGTGACAGGAAGGTGCCTCTGGAACTTAAAGGAAAGTTCTATAGAACGGTGGTTTGGTCGGCCATGTTGTATGGTGCAGAGTGCTGGCCAGTGAAGAATTCTCATATCCAGAAGATGAAAGGTGCAGAGATGAGGATGCTGAGATGGATGTGCGGACACACTAAGCTAGATAAGCTTGGGAATGACGATATTCGGGTGAAGGTGGGCGTGGCTCCTATTGTCGCGCCCCCGTTTTTCCATTTCGCGGGGAAGTTCGGGTTTCGACATTCATGGGGGAACAACTCGTTTCCTTTTGGGAATTGGGTGTTTGAAGAGTCGCCAGCCAACGGATTAAGGTGCATTAGGACACCTAGAGCAATTAACTCATGTAACCAGTTTGCATTACCAGAGATTAGGGCAAGGGCTCGAAATAACCTTGAGGGGAAGGTGTTAGGCACCCCTCGAGGTCCACAACGGTGGGTCCCGGCCAAACTTACTTTGTGAATTAGTCAATTAGCAAATAGGCAGTCTAAGCACACATATGTAAAAGGAATGAAGAATTTTAATAAATAAGCGGTCTAAGCACACATATGTAAAAGGGATAAGGGAGGTCCTAAGTTTTTTATGCTATAGGATCATATCCATGCAATGTCCGGTAATCACTCCTCGGTGAGAGGGGTTACACGTTGCATTAGCGCACAGGTCATCATATCCTTTTACTACCCATTATCCCACCCCTTAGCGGTTATATAAGCGAGTTTTGATTAACGAACTCTAAGCGTGCTGTTACCGGCCCTTCCTTATGGTCCCGGAGGAGTTTAGGACCTCTAGACTTAGGCAGTTCTAGAAATCCTAAGGTGTTTAAAGCGGCAAAAGTCTAGGCGACAACAAATAACACATAGGACTGTCAATGAAGGAAGCATATAAAAGGCTCATATTTACCTTCACATATACATAGGCAAATCAGGAGCATGTCTCAAACAACTGATTTTAAAGAAATTCAGAAAGCCTAGGAACATGATATCTAGATAAACATTACAGAGCAGAACATGCAGCGTTTGTTTTAAGGGAAGTGGCAGAATCCTAATCAGTTTGCCTACTGGTTTTATAGCCTGTTAAGCACGGACAGTTTTACACATAAACAGAACCTGATTTCACAGTTATCTAACGGCTTAAGGCTTGCCTAGGCGTGTATATGCAGTCATAATCTAGGAACCACTTAAACAATTTGAAGTCCTTTTATCCTATAGGCATGCTGATCTAAGTGATGAAGGTTATAACAAGTGATTTTATGAATGTTTGCACTACGACATGATATCTAGGTGTTGAACTATTTTGAACCTTTTATCGACAGTTACTTATTCAAACGACGTAGACACGGTTTAGAGCCAATGCAAACAAAGTCCTAAATCAGGATTTCTAATGCACATAAAGATGATCATTTTTTATTAAGCAAGAGTACAACAGCAGTTTAATGACATGATTTCCAGGTGATAGTAACTTATGCAAAGCCAGAGAAAGAAGTAATGAACTTATAACATGTTTCTAATATACAGAATATAAAGGTGAGTGTCCTAAGGCAGGTTTTATAATGCAAATATTATAAACTTATGACATGTTTTGATGCAAGTAGCATATCATATGGACCTAAAGCATGTTTTTCTATCGTTACATAAACTCGAATCAGGATGGCCGTTGCAAATATACATATAGACTAAGGGCATGGTTATGTATCAACCTAAAGCATGGTATCTATCCAATTTCCCACAAACATCATATAGGAACCCCCCCTTTTTACNCATATAGGAACCCCCCCCCCCCTTTTTACTAGTTTCTCACAATATTTGTTTACAAATAAAATTAGTACAGACCAGAATCAAATGAATTACATAAGTGAAATATAGATTAAACTATAGGGAGCCTGATGCAGGCCCAAAGCAAAACTGGGAGTACCAGGCCTTCAGTAGTCTCAAATGCCAAGGATTTCATTGCCAAATTTGTGTCCAGGAGTGTCAGAGTTCCCTAAGGACCTCAAGGATCCCGGGAAGTGCTCACACCCAGACATTTCACAATAGGGACTAAATATGTGCAGTGTGGAATGGCCAGCCCCAGTGTGCCAGAGTTCAAAGGAATCTCAAGAGGATCCCAAGACAGTACACACACTGGAGGGGCAGAACCTATTAACTTAGGAGTAAAGTGAGAGTTCTTGACATAGTTTTGAAAGGTTTTTTTTTTGGAAAAAATAGTATAGAGATGACTCCAGGAGTGAAAAGGTTTTCTGAAATAGGAACCAGTTTGGTGGTAAAATAGTTTGAG